GGTGTGTAACAGTCGTGATGCTTATGGAGGTCTGGTGACCAATAATATGCTTTGTGCTGGGAAACTCGAAGGAGGCAAAGACTCCTGTCAGGTGAGCAGTCAGTATTAAGGAACAGCTAACAGAAATCATATAAGTATGCATGGATTTGACCATCTAGCAAACTTTGGAGTAACATTTCTGTTAATCAAGTATAATATATTTTTCCAGGGTGACAGTGGTGGACCTCTGGTATGCCAGGGAGAGAGTCGCTTTTACCTGGTGGGGATTACCAGCTGGGGAGCTGGCTGTGGTGAAAAAAACAAACCCGGGGTTTACACCAGAGTCAGTAGTGTTCTGCCCTGGATCTACACAAACATGCATGTAAGAGTGAAAGCAAAAAGAATAAATAAGAACTAGAAGGGGAAGGCTTTCTCTATGTTAACTCCTCCTTTGCCTCTTGCAGAGAGCTATGGTGTGACATCACTTTGCCTCCTGCTGGTGTTTTCCTCCCAATGAAGTTGTCTTGAGGGAGTAGCAGCATGACAGAAATGCCCACATACATTCATTAATGTTGTGCTCATCATCTATACTCATCCCAGGTCACATGGATTTAATATATTTTACACTACCCACATGTATACAAGCTAATCAGTGCACTGACTTCAGTCTTTCAATTTTGATTTTATTCTTTTGTGTGTACTAAAGCTTATTTTTAATTTAAGTGAGCTTTAAAAGCAGATTTTTTTTTCAATTGTATCTTATTGTAATTCAATGAAAGGCTTTACTGAGGTTCTACTGAGATTTCCTTAATCAGTTTGTGGTTGATTAATGTATGATTGTGTATGATTAATTATTATGAAGGTGTTTTTTTTCTCTCAGGAACACAATTTTAACTGTTGTGTACCATATTAAAATCAAAACATTTTGTGCATTACCTTGCACTTGAGTCACTAAGCAGTGCACTTAAGCCACTACTCATGTTGGGATTTTTCTTGAAATTGTTCTTGATTGTATGCCATTTTTCCGTATTCTTTGTTATGTTCATGTCATAAGTTTGTGAAGGATTGCGCGAATAACAAACACAACATATATCAGATAAAGAAGGAACCATCCACTCCCCTTTGTTGTGGTGTTTAATGATTTTGTGAGCAGGAGGGTCTGTGGTGAGCGTGCCTGGTGTGTGAGAGAGGGAGAGATGCAGAAAGGGAGCGGCAGGGACGATTCCACGCACTAAATAAGCAGTCACTCCAGGAGTCACACTGTTGTCGTCATCACATCTATTTTTCCAGGGGAAGTACATATGAGCAGGTTGCACATATTGACAGATGAGAATACTTGAAGCAGAGTCCTTGTGAGACAAACTGATTGATTTTTGCAAGTGGATATCAGTTTGTTAACCAACGGTCCGCTGGAGAAACAAAAGGTAAGTTAATAAGCGACATATTTGATTGTGTTATTCATATAAAGACAAAAAGGGATCCAGTGGTCTAAAAAGAATATGAGTGCAATAGGACTGTAAGGC